GGATCAGCGTGACAGTTCGGCTCGCAAGTGACCCCATTCGTTGGGTATCATTGGTATCATTCTTGAAAAGTAGAAAGTAAAGGGTTAATTCGTAAGAAAAAAAAAAAAAAAGAAGAGCTAAATTTCGGGTATAAAGTAAACAGGGTGTTGACGGATGTCTGTCTGTTCTGCCAAGGAAGATCGTTGAGTCATGGCCAGACTTAGGCTGCTTCCATTTTCTTTAAAAAACGCATGCTTGTTTTGTTTGATATTATTTATACATACCTAGCACGGCCACGAAGGCTACCCTGTTTATACAGTAAGCGCGCCGTGTTTCAAGGTCACGACCCCACGTCCTTATAAAACAGTGCGTATTTGATTTGGAGAAATCGGAAATAACAGTGGTTCTAAAAAAATCATACGGATGGGTGGGGGGTAGGGGGTTAACCACTGGCATAGGAAAGAGATCAGTAGGGTGTATCTCTGTATAGTGCATGAATGAAGCCACAGAGTTCGAATGAAAATTTAAATTAATTTCTACTTTTCAGTGCGTTTAATAAACTCGTCTTTGATAGACGGTCTTCTTTTTTTTATATTTTTTTTATTTTCTTTCTTTAAAAAAAATAAATACATTTTGTTATTTTCTTACACCTCTTATTAAATGTTTTAATCTGTAAATTATGGGGTCGGGGGTGGGGGAGGAGAATTATTTACTTTTAAATAATCGAATGCTTAAAAAATCCAGAGTAATGTGTCTTAAACCTACTCATAAACTAGTAACTAGTCCATTGAACCGGGGCTAATTTACGTACTCCTCTAAACTCTTCCGAACAGCCCTCCTCATAATCCACTTGGTTGTTGGAAAGGAAAAAGGGTGGTCTGGGGGTTGGGGGGGGGGTGTTTAAAAAAAAAAATGTTTGTTTGTGTTCATATCATATTTTCTACTTTAAATACCACTCTCCACTCAAACACTACCCCACCCCACCCCAAAATTCAGCGAAGCGAATCTCTCACCTGAACGCCCCCACACACACCCTTCTCTCGCCGTTTTCTTTGATCGAGGCAGAGGTGATCGACCGTAGCGAGATGGTCACATGTGATAACAACAAAAATGCTATAAACTTACAAACTCGATGCTGTTGTGACTAGAAAGAAATTCTTTTGCTAATGGTGAGTTGAGTAGTGGCAGTAGCCACTTTCATATAATTAGTCAACGTGTTCCAGTGGCTACTTTAGGCAAAGGTCAAAGGTGACGTTGTTTTTAAATGAAAGGTCAGCAGTTGACCTGCAGTAAAGTTCGAAAGGTCCCTCAGAATTTCTTCACGTCGCCTCATTCTGCTGTCCCTCCACCCCCACCCCAAACTACGTTGACATTTCAGGCCGCCATGACAACGTGCACTGTTAGAGTTATTTCCCTTTCCTTTGAGGCGAGCCGTCTCTCGAAATGTGCTGAATTCTTTCCGTTTCACAGAAAACGCGAACTATCTCATATTTTAGTGTTGCAAAAATTTGAAATGATATTTCCTTAAATCTCAACCACATTAATAATGATAATAATAATGATGCTTCAATTTGTTTGAAAATTTCCTGATGTCAACTTTAAAAAAAAAAACAACAAACAAACAAACGCACACATTAGTAAAAAAAAATATTTTAAAAAACCCCAAAAACGGGCTTTTGGGTGTTACAGTTGACAACATGGGTAAGCATCATCGACTCAAAGATTTAGATAAGCTAAAGAGTCGAATCCTGGAACAGTACTCAGAAAATCAGTGTCATACAATAGAAGATGTGGAGTAGTTTTCATGGCAATATAAAACACGAAATTGGGGGAAAATGTGACAGGAGAAAAAAATTACGAAACAAAACAGTGGACGTTTCAACTAAAATCGCAAATAAATAAATAAATAAAATAAAATAAAAATACCCGAGAATACAAACAAAAATTAGCTTAGGAAATAAAGCCTGGAAATAATTCAAAACTAACGTGTACTGGTTTCTTGGTAACCATATAGCGAAGTCTACAAATTTCGGGCATGATACTACCAGGAAATTAAAATGGAAAAAAAAAAAAATGAATAAGTAAATAAAAATAACCTAATAGGGAAACGAAAGGATTATCGAAATATGGAGAGGACTGCGATTTCAATGGACTGGTCAAGATTTTCAAAGTCGTAGACCCCGACGCGTAAAGTCAAAGGTCACGGAGGGCGCACAACGAAAAACTGGAGTGTGCTCCGCTGTGTTCTGTCATTCAAATAAATAAATAAAGGAAAGTGTGATTGGAACAGTAAGTCTTAATACAAGAGGAAAACAAAAACATAAAAACACACAAACTTCTTACAAGAAACACGTCAGTATTTGAGGCTTCTAACACAACACGCCAGTATTTGAGGCTTCTTAAACAACGCGTCAGTATTTTGAGGCTTCTGAACACCCTGTATCAGATTTCTTGTTTTCGTAGAGTGCTACAGGTAAACTAGTGGAAATGGAGTGGCGTGACCTACTTCGATCCGTCAACGGTACGGTCGGGTCAGCTCCAGATACAAATTTAAGACAAGCGCATCTTTTCTGAATGGGGAGTTACACTGCTAGAACGTATCCAGTGTGACTCTAAGGAGTGACAAGGAGTCATACTGTAGGGCGTTTAAAAATCATCTTAAGAAATCGGCAACGTCCAAGCACAACGCTTTAAATGGAGTAAGTAGCCACTGGCCGTGAAGTAGCCACTGGACGTGAAGTAGCCACTAGCAGTGAAGTAGCCACCGGCCGTGAAGTAGCCACTGGCCGTGAAGTAGTCACTGGCTGTGAAGCAGCCACTAGCAGTGAAGTAGCCATGGCCGTGAAATAGCCACCAGCCGTAAAGTAGCCACTTGCCGTGAAGTAGCCAGGTGGCCGTGACGAAGCCACTGGCCAATATTTAAAAAAAAAAAAAAAAGCATTCACTGGCTGAATTATAAATCAAAATGTGCCAAATGTGAGGAAGGCTCTTATTAGTCACTGGCTGTGAAGCAGCCACTAGCAGTGAAGTAGCCATGGCCGTGAAATAGCCACCAGCCGTAAAGTAGCCACTTGCCGTGAAGTAGCCAGGGGGCCGTGACGAAGCCACTGGCCAATATTTAAAAAAAAAAAAAAAAAGCATTCACTGGCTGAATTATAAATCAAAATGTGCCAAATGTGAGGAAGGCTCTTAGCCGAAACGTTCTTCTCTTATCGTCCTTTCTTTCGATTCAAGTTTCCACACACCTTGTTCTACTTTTTCTTTCACACAGCCTCGACGCGGTCCTTCATTTTTTTTCAATTATTTTTCACATCGACTAAGAGGTGGTAATAATATATTCCAGTTGTGTCCCTTTTTGTTGTTGTTGTTGTTGTTCTTATTGAGTGGATAACTGCCCATATTAACATCGTTTCAATTAGATAACTTTGAACAGATATGACTCTGAAGATAACGTGTTTTTTTGTTGTTATTGTTTGATGCAGTGCCTGGAAGCCGCCCAGCTGATCAAAGCGGTCAATGGCAACAACAGCTGGCGTCTGTCCCAGGAGGAGTTTTACGGCGCTTCCGTTATCCTCCTGTACTACGTCACGCTGTCTGACCAGGGGTGCCCCCGTCCCGCGGGGCAAGTGCCCAGCGTGCAGACGGCCAGGCAGCATCTGCTGAACTTAACAGCAGCATATGATAACTCGGCAGCGATACGCCAGACGGGTTTAAAGTCTCTTTTGGATAGAGTCAAGGTTGGTATAACTCTTTGGTGTGTATGGCGGAAATGGATGATAGGCAGGGTGCGAAAAGAGTGGGCAAGAGCGGTTTAAATGGGGGCGTGGCTAATTATAAGGGGGCGGTGTTGAGATACGGTGAGATATGGTAAAGTTGTATTGTGGGAAGGCTGGGATTGGTGTAAATATTCAGTTTGGGTAGGGTGAGATTGGGGTAAAGATTCAGTTGGGGTTAGGTGGGATATGAGTGAAGATTCAGTTTAGGTAGGATGGGATTGGGGTAAAGATTCTGTTCTGGTAGGATAAGTTTGGGGTAAATATTCAGTTTGGATAGAATGGGATTGGTGTCAAGATTCCGTTGGATAGGGGGGAATTGGGGTAAAGATTCAGTTTTGGTAGGTTGGGATAAGTGTAAAGAATCATTTCGGGTAAGGTCTGGACGTAATGGTCACAGGCCACGGTTAGAGAAGACGCAAACCCCTTTGTTTAAAAACATGATTTGTTTTGTTTCTTTAATTTACCCACCAAGCTTGATTGCCTTCCCCATGAATATTACAAATAAACAACAACCCCACCAACGCCACCAACAACAACACCAACAACAACCAATTCTGCCTCATTTTTATACAACAGCACCACATTAGTCACGATCACCACGATCACAAAGCTAATGACCCCCACGAAGGTCATGGTCACCACCAGCACGACGACCACTCTGACCATGATCATGGGCGGCGTCGGAGGGAGTCAGATGACCACGACCACCATGAACAGGATGACCATGATGACCATGATGACCACGACTCCACGAATATGATAGTTAAACGGAAGGTCAGTTTCCAAGAAACGTTTACTCTCCGTAACTTAACCGGGAAGCCCTGAGATCAGCCACATTAATGTAAGGCCCACACTGCTCAAATGTATCAGAGTGGTATCCAGGGTGGAGGGAAAACATTGCTCAGGGCATGGGGGCCACTGAGAGGTAGGCTAAATGTGCTGGAGGGGGCCAGAGAACAAAAAAAAAAGAACCACTCCCAGCCCGGTTCATATTTCAAATATCAGACTCTTTCAGGTAGGGGCGGAAATTTTTATTTTTTGATGTACGTGCCCCCTAACCCCTCCCCGCGTACGTCATCGTCCACATCCCAGTTTTCTTAAATAATCCTTAATATTGTCATGTCCTTGACATAAGCTTAATCAAAATAACCATTTTGCATGATATAGTTAGTGTAAAAATAGTTGCGTCACTGCTAGAGCAGCTAAGCTTTAAAAAAAAAAAAAAGAAAAAGAAAAGATTCATACAATTTGATGTAGTTTTTTTTATTATATTTTTTATTTTTAAATATTGTTTTTTACGTTAATTTATTTATGGCTAATTATTAACGGTATAAAGTTAACAACAACTTCATGAGAGAGAAAACTAACACGTTATTTTTAAGTTATGTTAAAAAAAAAGGAAGGAAAAAAAAAGAAGCAACGTTAGAGAAAACAAAAAAAAAAAAATTCTGTAAACATTGACACAATGTTTTGTTCTCAGTGCCTCAGTTCCGATGCCTTGTTTTACTACATGGGGGCAGACAACGCTGGTTACGTGAGCACTGACAGGATTGGGGAACTTTCTGCCCTGGTTGTCTACCTTATCTACAGCGGTGAGCGTCTGTTCGATAGTGATAAAAAAAAACAAAATTCAAGCCATTTCTGAAAAGATAGTCTACACTCATTCAAGCCAAACGGCAAAAGAAAAAGAAAAAAAAAAGAAGATAGGCATCTGATCGAACTCTTAAGCAGAAGTAAAAATTTAAAAACAAAAAATTATTGTGTTACTTTATTATTATTTTTTTTAAATCTGTAGGCTGGAGAGTGAGATGCATAGTTTTATTTTTACTTTATTCACGCGTTGTTTATGTTGTATAATTTTAAAAGATGAACATATAATTTTCAATTAAATAAAGTATAGTTATCGCATGCAAGGTCACTTTCTAGAGCTGGGTCGATTGATTTCATGTCATTTTTAATGGGGATTTAAAGAAAGTCGTTTTAAACAAATTAAAACTGGTTTTAGATATACCATGCCGTCATCGGAATATTAGTTGGTTAAATGGTAAATTTAAAGATTTTAAAAGATGAAATATGAGGTAAATATAGTTCAATATGGAAGAAAGTTACTGAAAAGTGTGTGAGTGTATGTGTGTTAATAGCATGAGCGAGATGACGGTTTGTGGCTTTCGCCCAAAGAGAGCCTGTGTGCGTGGCTTGAAAACTGGTGCTGGTGAGGAGATTGTGACAACTGAATGTGAGGGCTAAGTGCGGTCGGGTAGTGTGTGTGTGTGGGTTGTGGAGTTTGTAAATGTGTGGGAGGAGAGTGCATTTGCGTGAGTACTGAGCGAAGATTGGAATGCGTGAGTGTACGGCCAAAGTGTACGACTAATGAAGTAAATGTTATTATATATGTTCGAATAATTTTTTTACGAATTGGTTTCATGAGATTTCATCTAGCAATCCAAAACCTTATGTTTGACAGGTTCGGACGTCGAAGAGAAATGTCGATTGGTGCCCTATAAAAGCGAGTTTATAAACAATATTTTCCTCCAGTATGCTCAAGGGGGTGCTAACATCTCTGTCAGCGGTGAGTTGAAACTTTAAAAAAAAAAAAGTCTGTTCTGGTAAAATTTTGGCCAATACTTAAAAAAAAAAAAAGTCTGCTATGGTAAAAATTTGGCCAATAATTAAAAAAAAAAAAATCTGTTCTGGTAAAAATTTTGCCAATAATTAAAAAAAAAAAAAAAGTCTGTTCTGGTAAAATTTTGGCCAATACTTTAAAAAAAAAAAGTCTGTTCTGGTAAAATTTTGGCCAATACTTAAAAAAAAAATAAAAATAAAAACAACATGTTTTAAACATTCAACGTTATGTTAGTTACTTGTTTTATCCACCGAATTTTCGGTATTGTAGGGGTTAATCTTCTACCATTACTTTTGACCACTTTTCTATGGGTTAATCGTCTACAGTTATTTTAGTTCTGCATTGTAAGGGCTCATCTTCTACTAATATTCTATTTCTGTATTCCAAGGGTTAGTCTTCTACAATTATTCTAGCTCTGTATTCTAAGGGTTAATCTTCTATTATCATTTTAGTTCTTTATTCTAAAGGTTAATCTCGTACTATTATCCTATTTCTGTATTCTAAGGGTTAATCTTCTACCATTATTCTAGTTCTGTATGACAAGGATTAGATCTAACAATTGTTCTAAGTCAGTTTTCTAATGATCAATCTTCGAAGATAATTGTTCCAGGTCAGCAGTATAAGGGTTGAACTTTCCATCTTTCTTCTAGGCCTCAAGTCTCTGATGTCCAGATTAGATATTAACCCAGATGACTTTAAGCACGGTCACGCTGGACATGACCACTCTGACGGACACAAACACAGGCGACGTCGGTCAGTGTCCAGTTGGTCAGCGAACATGGTGGACATCACATCAGCCAGGGAGAAACGTCAAACTCCAGTGTCACAGGTCAACTTTTTTTTTTTAAATTACAATTTTTGAAAGGCAATTTCTTTGTGTTCTTTGTTTCGGTTGCATGGTTGGTCAACGGTGAGAGTTTCTTTCAACTCTTTTAAAGGTAGATGATCGTAATATTTCAGAGTTACAAAACGGGGAAAAATATTCGCTAGCCCCCCTTTAAAAACAAGGAACTCATAACGATGAGGTGATTGAGGGGGAGAGAGAGAGAGAGAGAGAGAGAGAGAGAGAGAGAGAGGGAGAGAGAGAGAGAGAGAGGGGGGAGGGGGAGGGGCGAAAACAAAAGCTCTAAAACAATAAAAAAAATCGTAGCTAAATATCTCTATACCAATAACTCAAAAAAATAAATAAACTTGAACTTAAAAAAAAATAAAACGGGGAAAAATATTCGCGAGCGCCCCTGTAAAAACAAGGAACTCATAAAGAGGAGGGGATAGAGGGGGAGAGAGAGAGAGAGAGAGAGAGAGAGAGAGAGAGAGAGGGAGAGAGAGAGAGAGAGAGGGAGGAGGGGGAGGGGCGAAATCAAAAGCTCTTAAGCAATAAATAAAATCGTAGCTAAGTATTTCTTTACGAATAACTTTAAAAAATAAATAAACTTGAACTTTAAAAAAAAAAAAAAATCTCTATATGTTATAAGTAGCCTCGTCAGTGTCGTGAACTTTGTTGAATTTCTGGGACATTATACCGCTTCTAGAAATACTAATCAAATTCATCTATACTTAATTGCTTATAGAAATACTTATCAACGTTATATATATCAACGCTCCCAGAAACAGCCAGACACTGGAGTCCTTTAAAACCGATTTAAAAACACATCTATTTCGCAAACACTTTCGGGGGGTGATGTTGTCTACCATCTTTTTCCAGTTAATGTATATTGGCTTGTGTTGCCTATGGTTGAAATCGGACGAAAGACTTTGACTGTGTATGCTTGTATGTAGTTTTTATCTTGTTGCATTTGTTAATTTATGTGGTAAATTATAGATTATTTTTATTTCTCTCTTTTTTTTTAATACGTTTGACTTTGCACCACGCTTCGAGCTTTTGGGGATGAAGCGTGTTTTTCAAATAAACTTTATTTTTATTATTATTATATAGCAACTTGATTTTTTTAAAATCCTTATTAGAAGAAGAAATTTGTTTCATTTCTTAAACAACAATTCCAATAAAAATGGTTCTACGTGTGCAGGACCTGGTCAGCTGCTACACGGCTAACCAGCTGATGACACTGTACGAGTCAAACACAGGAGTGGACAAGATGACCTTCCAACAGCTGTGCCCGTCACTCTTAAGCCAGAAGCTCTACGCAGACTGCACACCGCCCAGTCCGCAGACTTTAGGGCCGACGGAGGCCGAGAGTAAGAATTTAAATACCACTTTGCAGGCTTACCGGATGTTTTCCCCCGAAGTAAAAACCACTTACCCCACAAGCACCCCCTAAATTGTATTTATTTATTTTTTTTAACCACCGTTAAACAAATATTTTAAAAATATTTTGGCCCTCGAAAATTTCTGTCCTTTCCCATCACATCATTAGCATCACCTTTACGGTGGCCGAGTGGTCTAAAATGACTCAATGCAAATAGCTGATGGTCTGGAGTTCAATCCCCCACCAAAGCCAAGACGATTATAAGCATCCCAAAGCACCCCGGGTGCCATGAACAACTCATCTAAGAGAAGGAAAACTCTGAATTCAAACCAGGAGCCAGAATAAATTGATCGTGGGCCCTCAAATATAGGGAAGAATGATAAGCCCGTGCCCCAAACTCCATGCCGTATCTCAAAATGACTCATCTATCCGAAAAACCTTTGAAAATTGTATTGAGATCATCTAATGAAATGTGTTTATTTTTTTACATTGCAAATGTTGACGTTATAAATGTTACCAAGTTACAGAAACATTTTTATCTTTGTTCCATTCATACAATTTTTATTTATTTATTGATACGTTGAGAAATTATTGTTAAATTATGTTTCTCTTTTCCTCCAGAATTTGGTTATGGATCCATCGCTGTCGCTCTGATCTGCCTCTGTGCCATATTTGGCGTGGTCTTCATCCCGTGCGCGTCTCTCAAGCTCTACTACATCTTAATGTCCACCTTTCTCGGCCTGGCTGTGGGGACGCTGTTTGCGGACGCCATCCTCCATCTGATACCCATGGTGCGTTAGTGATAGGGTATCTTTTAATGGTCCATTTAAATGGACTATCCCGTGTCTATTTCCGGTCGACCTGACTAAGTCTTGTCATAGGGATACAATAGGACGAGCGAGTGAGGCTACCGCATTGAGCACCTCAGCCTCACTTTAAGACCAAATTCAGCTTAAGTTTTGGTCATCTTAGCGCGAAGGACGAACAACATCTTTAAGGGATATTGCAGTCGAAAGATTTATACGATATCCATTTATTCACCAGCGTTAAATCTCCCATAGTCCTCAACGTTCGAGTGCATTTTTTAACAAATTAATCATATAATACAAAAACATCATTCACTTATGTATGACATGTCATGTCAGGTCTAGAGATTTTTTTTTAAACCCCAAAATTATAAGATTTGTTTTTCTTTTCCAAGGCCTTAGGTGTCCACGCCCATGGAGGTGAAGGTGGGCACGGCCACGACCACGGAGATGAGTTCGTGGTAGAGACCTACATATACTATGGCCTTGCCATTATGGGAGGTAGGTGACGCCTCTGTCGTGATAGGTTGATATTTCATAGAAATTGGTGGCCTGTCACTCTGCTGTTTGCTGTGTGCACCTTTCAAAGTGTACATGACTCCGTTATGACAGCGAAAGTGGAGGTCTTCATCACAGGTGCAGTTTAGGTTTGACCATCGTTAATAATGTAATATAGATCCCCTTTATAAAGTCGTCATACCTTTTGAAAAGTAAAAGCCATGGTCATCCACGAACTTTTCGTCTGTTTTTTTTTTGTTTTACTAAATTTTAAACACTGTCCAATTCATGTTTAATTTTAACACCAGGTTTATACTTCTTCTACATCCTGGAGACGGTCATGTCAAGATGGGGAAACCACTCGGTGAGTCTCGCTCATAGACACTGTCTAAGAGTGACACGCCGTGTTTATGGCGCATTGGCGGCGATAACGGTAACAGGACACACTTTAAGAGTGTCCATCAAAAGCAGAACGTACCTATAACTTAGTTATCTAAACACAAACGGTGGGGGGATGCGTGGGTGGAGGTGGATGGGGGGAATATACTTTAAATAATTCGGTTCTCTTTATTACTTTTTAAAAAAAAACTTTTTCAATCCGAATGTGTCTCAAGACAAACTCAGTAGGCTGCCACATAGCCATAGTCACATAGGAAATAAGGGCTAAGTAATCCACACAAAAAAACCAACTTCTTCATTTTTCAAAATGTTTGTTGCCAAAAACTTGAGCAATTTCTAAAGTTGTCTGATCCATAATGGTCGTGAATATTTAACTAACTAAATTACACATAGTTACTCTTTTGTTCAACTACTGACATTTTGCTTATATATATATATATATATATATATATAAACATATATGATGAATTTTCCAACAATTCTTATTTACTCTCCCACCAATCAGCACGGCTCTGAGCAAACGTCCGACATGCAGATGTATCCCAACTCGTTTGGGGTAAGTCTTCTCATTCAGTTAAACCATTTGTGGGTGTGTGTGTGTGTGTGGGGGGGGGAGGGGGGAGTTGGTGCTTTTTTTTCTTTAATTATTTGTGTATGTGTGTGTGTGGGGGGGGGAGGGGGTGTTTACCTGTTTGTAAAGTATTTGTTTACAATCAGATGTCGGAGGGTAAATAAAAATATGAAAGCTTTGCGCTTGAACAGATGTCCAGAAAATTATTCCGTCTCTATCCCATCTTAACGCTTAAATTGATTGACCTTAATTCACAGAGACCTGACAAAGGCGAGGATGCTTTTGAAACTGAAAACAGTCACCAAGGTAAAGATAACTCTGCTTAACGCCAACCCTGAGTTGGCCTATTTTATTATAGCTCATTTTTTAATGATTATTATAATTATTATTATTTATATTATTATATTATATAAATATATATATTATATATTTCTTTTGCTGTTAAAGAGTCCAATCTTAAAACTATGTTTATGTTTTACGTGGGAAAATTGGGGGGGGGGCGGTGTTAAAAATCCATAAATGAGTCAAACGTATAGCGCAGATGGCGAGTGTCAGGAATTTTTTATGATAATGTCTAAATTTAGGGACATATTTGTTACAATTGTGGGGGGAGGGGGGAGGAGGAGGATAGAGCAAATATCGGCTTACATAGCGTGACGTCAGTTAGGGATGGGGTCTGCGGTTATTCAGTCAATGACATAAATCATAACATACCCCAAAAATCATAACATACCCTCGAAAATCTTAACACACCCTCAAAAATCATAACATACCCTCATAAATCTTAACATACCCTCATAAGTCATAACATACCCTAAAAATCTTAACATACCCTCATATATCTTAACATACCCTCATAAATCATAACATACCCTCATAAATCTTAACATGCCCTCAAAAATCTTAACATACCCTCATATATCTTAACAGACCCTCATAAGTCTTAACATACCCTCATATATCTTAACATACCCTAAAAATATTAACATACCCTCATAAATCATAACATACCCTCATAAATCGTAACATAACCTCATAAATCTTAACATACCTCAAAAATCTTAACATACCCTCATATATTTTAACATACCCTCAAAAATCTTAACATACCCTCATATATATTAACATACCCCAAAAAATCTTAACATACCCTCATAAATCTTAACATACCCTCAAAAATCTTAACATACCCTCAAAAATCTTAACATACCCCAAAAATCTTAACATACCCTCATAAATCATAACACACCCTCATAAATCGTAACATAACCTCATAAATCTTAACATACTCTCATAAATCTTAACAAACCCTCATAAATCTTAACATACCCTCATAATTCTTATCATACCCTCATAAATCATAACATACCCTCATAAATCATACCATACCCTCAAAAATCATAACATATTAAAATATATTTATATATGTTATATTTTCTTTGTTATATTTTCATTTCTATTGTTGGCTGAGGAAGGCTTTATGTCGAAACGTCCTTGTTTTTTGTCCTGTTACCTTATTTCAAGCTTCCACATACCTCGTTTCACTATTTCATTCATTTACATAGCTTGAAAGCAGTCCCTTCATTTATTTTTTCTGCCCACCAGCTTATCGTTTCTACATGGTGAGTTCACAGAACAATAGCTATTAGGAATGTCTGCTTTCTGGCATTCCTGCAATATGCCCTTCCCAGCTGGATTGTCATTTTAATAGGAGTGCGTTTATGTATATAGAGTCCGCCCCTTGTAGGACTTATGTATCAAAGACTTGTCCTGCCAAGACGTTAACTTAACGTCGCAACCACGGATTAACCTGTCATCTGAACACTGTCCAAGGCTCGATAGAAAAAGGAGAGATGTTAATACGATTTACTTTCAGCTCAGTGACAAGCCTGAGACAATTTCACTCACAAATACTCTTACTGGAGCCTTCCTAAAGCAACGTTTAGTTATGAAAATTCAGTTGTTTATCTCGTAAAGTATTGCTATTAACCTTTAGAGTTTTGCTGCCCAAATTTCGGAATTCAGCCCATGCTTTGAGATTGTGTCCCCCCAGAGAGGTTTTAGTTTCTTTGTAAACATTTCCTGATGCTGGCCGATGCAATATTGCTGTGCGGCCAGTAAGTGTTTTAAAGCTTAGCCTTTCGAATACGTAAAAGATTCAATACTATTATAACAAAGTTAACGTTTTAAATAATAAGAAAATAAAACATCTGCAAGTTATTAATAGTTTAGAATTAGAAATTAAATTTAACTGCCTGTGTTTTTACCTTTTTGAAGCCATGGATGCAACCAATATTACGCAATCAGTCTTACTGAAGTCACCAGCCGAAAATTTCCTACCATATGTCGTTATTGGAAAAGCTCGTTTACCTTTCCAGAAGGGTTTACATAGAGTGAGAAATACTATCTGAGTATTGAATATCTAGACTAGCAAAGAATTAATAACAGTATACACAGAAAAATTATACCAAAGCTATTAATATCATCATACAAACCTGTACTCACCCCCACTGATGTAAAGAGAACACAACGACTTGACACTCTGTCCTCTGATGATCACCTGCATTACATCTACCGTCATATTGCACCTCACGTCCATTGTGTGATTGTCTACTAGAAAGATCTGTTGGTTGTTGCACGGCATTTCGGTCATCTCTGTTGCACTTGTTTTGAAGGTGACTGTTAGGTTCTCCAAATCAGCTGTAGTGGCGATGCAGTCAAATGTTTTATGTGACTTTTTAAACATAAATACGAAACAAATATAAAAACAGTCACAGTATACAGCAAGTATGTACAGGAACCTACGGGTCACCATTAATACTAAGCTAGACGTTATACAAAGACGTTTCTTTCCTAAAGTAGTTCACTATTTTGGCGTCTATAAAAAAAAAAATATTTCCACATCTTACAGTTCAACTGGAGCTAAGAATTTACTTACCTTCAATATTACCTGCTGGTTTGATATGTCATCGTGTCTCACCAAGCAACAATTTTAAAAAAAAAAAAACTTTCAAGACAGCGATTCATATTGCTCAAACGAAACACCTCTTTTCCAAGAACTATTGAAAACAATATGCCTTTGATAAACTCAAATGATTTGATGGAAACAACCCTCCCACTTCTTGACAGATGGCTAAGATCAACTCGTCCAGGTTGATTTCTTTCCCTCAAATTTAGGACCAAGAAATATATAACTATAAAGCTTTACTAGAATACCCCCTGTTCCCTCGTTTGTTACGCTATCTAAATAATAACTCGTACATGTCTTTAGTTTTATATGCTCTAATTTGAACAAATTTGTTTTTGTAACAATATGTATGCATGTGCTGAGAATGAATTGTGCACATTGTAATTAAATAAAACAACAACTTTTACATTTTCTGCAAAATTTAATCATAAAGGAATGATTTATGTTGTTTGTCTAACTCGTATTACTGAAAAAAACGATTGTAAGCCACAACGCGAAAATATTTATTTAGTTATCTAACATATGATATTTTTCATCCCATATGAATTTAAGGTGATAATGTGTACGCAGTGTCATCAAATTTACGTGGCCATATCTCACCCTATCTGTCATACATATTTTTTTCAAAAAGTTCAGTTTCAAATTAATACTTCAACTATTGTGTTACAAAATCATGATTGTTTAAAAATAGCGTTTCTCAAAATGTGGGTCGTGTTCTCTTCGGGGGTCGAGCAACTGGTACACAGGTTTCGCCTAAGACCTTCGGAAAACACATATTTATGAAGTAGAAACGAAAATAATTGATGTATGTTTATGGGTAAAGGCAACATGAGTAACTGTAGTCAAGGGTCACGGCATTAGTGTTGTTTGGAACCACTGGTCAATAGCGCGTTTCTTTAACTTTAATATTTTATACATTGTGGTAAAAGTAAGAGTTTAATCTCTATTTAAATTACACTTAACTTGATTTTGGCAGGGTAATGTATCAAGTAACTTAGTGGTAACATCACCAAGAAATGCTAGGGTGTTTTTTACGAATCAAGTAAGAATTATTAGTTATTTTAAGTAAAAAGAAACATACAACTGCCATTGACAGCAAATCTCAACCATGTGATTGGAATAGTGTCAGTCCACGTCACAACAATGGACTTCAGGTTGACGTCACCGTTACATGTTGAGTCATCCCTATCAGTTATCCAGTTTGGGCTTGACAAATCAACGTTTGCTGTTATTGTAGCGGAGTTTATACTGGTCGAATCTTCTGTAATTTTATTTTGAGGAACATAGTAGAGTTGATGTTAGCATTGACTTATAGACAGGTTACAAAACGAGACACACAGTTCAACAATCGTGGCCTTGACTGGAGTGAATATACTACTTTATTTCATTAAAGATGTGCACTTAAAGATCCACCGGTGGTAAATTGTACGTACGATATTGACACGCCACTCCAAACCACCCATGCTGACATTTCGAGCCACCTTGACACTGGCCGGTGGTGACGTCACAACTTGAAGCACAGTGACACTGAAACTGACATCTTGTGCCAAACCATCCAGCTTGGCAAGGTGCTGACGAATAGTGTCGTAAGAAAAAGACTGACAATAGGCTCTGTATTTTTTTTTTTTGTTAAGCAGCTAAGCAGAAAGTGTAACTAAATCTCAATATTAACAAAATCAATTCCTTCAAAGCTATCATTATATCAATATCAATATATATATATATATATATAGATATATATATATATTTATATATATACATTTTACATAACGTAATTGTTGTGCTCCTTTGATACATCTGTATATTTGTTGTTTATACGTATTGTATATACATACACATTTTAAATATTATCACGGATCTCCTAATATTCAGTTTGCGATTATACATAAGAAAACATTAAATTACCTTGTGTGGTTACAATGGAGACATCATAACACATGAACATAAGAAGGTAAATGATAGCCCCAGTAAAGCACATTATAACGTTGATTTTAACGAACTACACGATTCTGAAACTTTAGTAAGTCACGGAGATCAGATACATTGTATGAATTGAAAAAGAAAGTACTTTCCTTTAAGATCAAATACAAAATATTTTAACCATTTAGACTGTAAAAATCCATAGAATTATTGGACTGTGCTATGACATTCACGTAAGGTTGACCTGAATAATGACTTCCCTATAGCGCCTCTTCTCTAAGAGATTAACGAAGAAAAGAGAACGTTACGTTTGAATGGCGTGTAAATAATTCGGTGTACCATTCGGGGGAGGGCAAATATAATTATATATATATATATTTATATATAAGAAAAAACAACTTTTATTGAATTGAGTTTTTTAGATGTACACGGATAAAAACATTCCAATGTGTTATAATACATAGAAGGAAACGTGTCAAGAACGGTAAATGAAGCTTGTGATTTTACGAGAAAGTTAAATTTTGGATGCGTGCCACCATAGTTGGGAAATTTAGCACAGTATTGGGGCACTGGGTGGCCGAGTAGTCTGAACTGGCTCAAAACCAAAAGAGCTGGTGGTCAATCCCAACCAAAGCCAATATCCCAAGCACCCCGCGTGGATGGGACCCGTTAGCCCTGGACGACAACTCATCTACGAGAAGGCAAACTCTGAATTCAAACCAGGAGCCAGAATGATCAACAATTGATCGTGGGCCCCTCAAATATAAGAATCAAGTAATAAAACACTGAAGAAATTACCTGAATATAAAATTTAAATTTTGTGTTTATTTGTAGGCGAAGATGGAAAAGAAATTATATACCACGGTGAGTACGCAAAGGGCCTGCCAGTCTTATTTGTGCACGAAAGGCTTTCCCGCACTTTGGCCAACGTTATTTTTGGGTCCTATTTGGATACAGTTTGATACTGCGTTTCCTGGACGAGTGCTTTCTCTGGGCGTCAGCGATGTGATTATTCTCTGATTATTGTGCTCCAACGCCACGTGAGCTCGCAGGATGCATAGCAAGTCGTGTTTCCTGCGAGTCTGGGTTAGTATCCATGGATTTGAGTGAAGCTTTCAGACAGTCCTTGGAGCGTTCTTTTCATCGAATAATGGTCTTTAGGGAAGTCTGCTGTCTGGCATTCTTGTGACATGCTCTGCCCATTTGGATAGTCCTTTTGTAGGAATGTGTGGATGCTGATAAAATGTTGTATTTATTTTGATTTTTTGTTATTTTGAAGATTGAAAAAACTTAATTGGCATATTCATTATTGTTTAAGTGTGCATGCAAGGGCGATCCTACTTTGAAAATCTGAATTTGAATTTTTTAAGAATAAAATCAATGATCTTAAAAAAGTATGTTCAAAAGTGTAAGAATGCAAATTAATTGTATCTATAACTAACTGTATATCAACATTTATATTTCCACAAAAACATACATCTTGTACTTTAATTAAATTGAAGTCAACCCTAGGTCTCTTTATTTAAAATTGTGTTTATTAGTTTGAGACTAAGATTCGTATGTAAGAACATGGGCTAATAAAGTAGTCACATTCCTCATGCTGTCTTCTCGGATACAACAGTGCAGCCGACAAGTTTACAAGTGTTGGAAAACGGTAAATATTTCATGCATTCCCTTTATATTTAAAAAACAAAAATCAGTAGACCATTATATCCAGGAGTGTCCTTTCAGTTTTTTTTTAAAGAGTGGAAAGTGGGGGGAGGGGGGGGTGGAACCAAAACTTGGTTGGCTTGTTAAATTGTTTATTACTGAAGGCGCCACAGCACATAGCAATTTAAATAAAAACTGCAAATTCAAGGGATGGGGTGGGTGGTAATCAAGTTCGAAATCCTACCTAACCAAAATGACGTCCCTGGTTATATCATTGTTTTGTTTTTAGCGATCAAAAAGGTCAATTAGTTCATTTGATGGCCAGCTTGTCGGTTACTTTGATAACAATGAATAAAAGTTCATTAGTGAAGGGAGTCTTGTTGAAAGACATTAGATTATTTTGTTATTTTTCTTCAGATTATGACTTGGTTTAGTTTAAAACTGTTGTTAAATCATATTTGTTTCCATAGCTTAGATCATATTTAACTTGCTGAAAACGTTACCGGGGACTTGAACTTAACAAACAAAATAACAATGAATTGATATAAAAACAAAGAAAATTAGTAACTATTTTGTTATAAGAACGTAATTGATGTTAGATTTCACCCGGAATAAGAGTCGTGCAAGATATAATACGACTCTGCAAGCGATCCCAATATTTAAGGTCCACCCGTGGCCATTCTTCTTGTCTGCTAATAAATGAAACACAGCCTTGGTAATTAAGTCTCTAAGTATTTATAGCTTAAGTAATACGACTTTTATTTTATCCAATCTGCGGTAAGCATGCAAAAACCCACCAGTGCGCTGCGACCTGTTTCGGTCCGTTCCTGTTGAACAGGTGACGGTAACATTACTTTATAAAACATTCTTGAACACGTTACCTCAATTTAGCAGACACCTATCAAAAAAGGTCAGTGTATACCCAGTCCGGTAGCTGCACTCTTTGAATGCACATACCATGTAATCAGGTGGCACGCTTGAGTGATTTACGAACTTAGCGTCTCAAAGGTCGTGTTGACACAAGTCGTCACAGAAATTTTTTGAACATCCTGGTGTAATAATAAATAATAATAAAGCTTATTTGAAAATCACTCTTCATCCCCAAAGGCTCGAAGCGCGGTACAAAGTCATCCATATTAAAAAAGAAATGAAAAAAATCTATATTTTACCAGATTGAAATTCAAAACGCAACATTACAAAAACTAAATACGAGAATACCCATTTTAAGTCTTTCATCCCTTGCAACCATAAACTACACAGGCCACTTTACATCTATGAGATAATAGCTAGATGGAAAAGATGGTCGACAAATGTAAGCAATAATTAAAATTCAATGCATGCATTGTAATAAGAAAATTTAAAAAAAAAAAAAAGAAACAAAAAAAAAATATCTAATTTTATAGATTTTAAACAGTTTTTTGAAAGAAAGTCTAAAAGATTTTACAACTATGAGATAAAAGCTAGATGGAAAAGATGGTCGAAAAATGTAAGCAATAATTAAAATTCAATGCATGCATTGTAATAAAAAAATTTAAAAAAAAAAAAAAGAAACAAAAAAAAAAATATCTAATTTTATAGATTTTAAACAGTTTTTTGAAAGAAAGTCTAAAAGAAAAAAAAATAGTTCAGTAATATTTAAGGTTAATAATGCGATCTTGACCTTAAAGGGGCAGCAGTGTCGATATTTCTTGGTGTGGTTAGAATATATTTGCTGCATTGTTATTATCTGCCGTTTGCTAGCCTGGTGGTGCGTAAAGTGTAACAAAGGCTCAAAAGAAATTAGGCCGCAAGAGAAATATGCCTGGTCTTTGTGTGTTCTAGTTAAAGTTAAATATCTTCCAGTCCAGTCGACCTTCGTGAGTTAAATGAAGAATGGGCTGACACATACACAAATGAATTTGGATAACAAGGAGGGTGGATAGCACACATGGTGTCATACTGTTGCTGATATCTCATGTGGGATTATTCCTGGCAGCTCTGATATGTCCTAGACAAAGCTATTTTGTTGTGACGAGTAGGAAATTTAACTTAAACATGTGCGTTAGGAATTAATTGAGCAAATTTTCAAATATTTCATCTTAATTATTAAATGCCATTAGGCTTGAAAATGACATATTTTTTAATCTTTCAGAATAAATGCTGAAAGGGAAAAACTGTGCTGCAGTTTTTGGAATCGGCGTTTCGAAGTTCCAAAGTAACACGCCAGACATTTGAAGCATGGAAATATGTCTTTGAAAAGTGCTGCCAGTGGTCGTTCACAACGACGCGGGGCACTGGTGCACCAAAACTGTGCACACTTTGCAATGTCAACATGTAGCCAGTTAACAGTTTGAAATGAAAGGTCATGAATCAATAAGCTTGTAGAATAATTATTGCAGATAGTAAAATGATTAATTTGTATGACTGATAATGAGTTAATATACAAACTAATGAGTTAATATACAAACTAATAATGACTTACTTAATAGTCATTATGTTTTTACATATATAGCGTAACAATATGGATGTTTAAATTTTGGTTTAATGCAAGATATAGTATATATACATACATATATATATATATATATATATATATATATATATATATATATATATATATATATATATATATTTATAATATCTCTCCATAAAACTAAAAAAATATACAAACTAATAATGACTTACTTAATAGTCATTATGTTTTTACATATATAGCGTAACAATATGTATGTTTAAATTTTGGTTTAATGCAAGATATAGTATATATATATACATATATATATATATATATATATATATATATATATATATATATATATATATATACATATAAGTTTGTAATATCTCGCCATAAAACTAGTAAAAGTGTCTACTTTTAAGGCAGATACTAACAGCATTTTCAAACTCATAATGATTTAACCCATATTTAAAGCGTTTTAGATAAGAACACAGGGCAATGTTAAGTAGGTCAATATTAAGTTGACCAATAACTGGTATGAATATAAAAACAGCTTGATCTAAAGTTACACTTTATGCTGCCTGTAAATAATGGTGGCTATTTCTTCTCTCAACATTCAAACCAGGAAGATCATAAATTCAATTTAACACATCAGCTTAAAAGACATTCTATATTTAGGACACGCTAAAACACCCCCCAAAAACCCCCCCCCACCCCCCCCCCCCCCTCCAACACACACTATTTTTGTAATGAAAGAAGAACTCCTATTTCTCTTAATAATATACACATCTAATGGCATTATAGCGGAACAACTGATCACTGAAAGGCAAGACACTACAAGAATTGGAATTGGTCAACAAACATTTTAAAACGTAACTTGTCCCAAACCATTTACTTATTCACTATTTAAAAAAATAATAATAATAATAAATGATGTAGTTAACAGATTACAAATAGCCTTAGGTCTTATTTATAACGGATCTAAATTAATTGATATATTATCAACGGTTACAGACTACTTTCCTGTGGAATCAGGGCCAGTTTAAGTAAAATCATTCACATTTTTGGAAGTGAAAAAAATTTGGGTTAGGTAATGAGTTTATTACCCATGATTTCTTTTTCAACAAACAATGACAGTATCTGGACAGTAGAAACAATTAGGCGACCGAAGACATTTTTTTTCGCGCATTTTTATATAAGCGAATCTTTTGTCAGCACTGCCTATGTTTCTTCCATGGCGCCAACATGCAATGCTTTTTTCGTATTTTGGAGGATCATTGATGGCGCCCTAAACTCATGGTGCCCTATTTTGCCGGGTACGTTAAGCCGGCATTGTATGGCAAAAAATATGCACAAGTAAATCACTTCAACTGTGCACCCTGATTTGATTTAAACACGAGTAGATGTTGTAATTTTTTCCCCCAAAGTTTGTTCCCAACCAATAACGCAATTAATATAATTTGTACTGGAGGTAACCCGCTAAACAATGGCGGCGGCTATTACTGAAATTCCCATCTATGAAAGTTTCTTGACAAAACATGCATTCAAGTACCGTACTTTATATATAAAAACATGCCGCTTAGAGCTAATTTCAGACAATTTTATGGTGTGCTTCCAAAGAAAGTCATTACATGCATACCCAGCGAACTATTCTTATTTGTGATTGTTGTTATACAATAAGGATGTCATTTTGCCAAGATATTTTTTTTTAAAACTCAAAACAGTCAGAAGTGTACCTAAAGAGTGGCAAGACCCAACACATGTCAGGGGTGCCACTTGCAAAGGGGCGCAAAATTAGTTCTTCAGAAAACAAACATTGTAAGCTAACAAATTTTTTAAATGTTAAAAAAAAATAATTTTTAGTCATAAGCTAGTTTACTTTAATTGAATGAACAGCGAATTTTTTTTAATGACACTCTGATTTGAAATTTAGCCCTAAATCTCAATGTTATTGAAATAATTGTCTCAAGCGTTATAAATACACATTTAATTTCTTACCTTATTATTTCTATTAGTCTTTGACACGACTCATTTAACAAAATCTCCTAATGTTTAACATGTTTTATTTAAAAATGAGTGTCGGCATGTTCGGCGAACTGTACAGTTTACTTTCCTTGGTAATGGGCTGCAAAAGCTTTGGCACCAACGCTAGCTACGCCACCGTGTATTAGTAATTCCAAAGTATTGGATAATAGTCGCCACCCAAATTTTATGACCAACATATATTAGTTGCATAAATATCCGTGTCTTAAATGGTCGGATTGAAGCTGTAAAAAAAAAAAACAACAGAAAAGCACAATTGATAACACGCCATAAAAAGATACCATTGGTTGATGTTCTTAAATTGTCTAAAGTGCGAACATTTTATAAATCTAAGGAGAAGAGAGGAGAAGACTTTTGATTTTTTTGTTCACAAAGAAGGATGAATACTATCGATTATTTTAAGGATTAATTTTTTTTTTCAAATTATAAATTGATTTTAAATTAACGCCTGGAGTATAGACGGGATTAGTGTAGTAAGTAATCCATACATCTTATAGTTTAACTTATTTCTGAAGATCTTAATTTAATTTTTTAAAATAAATAAATATATTTTTTTGAGATAATAATTTTCATGGAACAACATTACAATATTTAAAGCATAAATGATTTTATCATTGAAAAATTCTTGCAACATTCAAGCATTATACAACTTGTTTCTGTTTTCAGCAGTGACAATGTATAAGTCCGAATTTTTCCTAACAGTGTTTCTGATCACCCACGGATGTCTCAATGTTGCTGCACAAGGTAGGAGGCGACGGTTGTAGTTACATGTATGCTTTCTTAATTAAATTAATTAGGTTAATTAAATGTCAAAGGTAACATGCATGTGTCAGATCAGATTTTAATGATCTAAAAATAGGACTTCTTTTGAATACAAAGCAGCACGTATTAATTGTCAGCCTTGCATACTGATAGTGTAGAGTAGCTTCACTGGCTGGATTACTGAATAACTGCAACATAATTGAGTACTTTCATAGTAAATGTATGATATGATGCCTGCAAGGTGTCAATGTGTATGTAGGATAAGATGCCTGCAAGGTGTCAAAGTATATGTAGAATATGATGTCTGCAAGGTGTCAAAGTGTATGTAGGATATGATGCCTGCAAGGTGTCAAAGTACATATATATAGAATATGATGTCTGCAAGGTGTATGTTGGATATGATGCCTGCAAGGTGTCAAAGTATATGCAGGATATGATGCCTGCAAGGGTCAAAGTATATGTAGAATATGATGTTTGCAAGGTGTCAAAGTGTATGTAGAATATGATGTCTGGAAGGTGTCAGACTTCTCTTCCTACTCGTTAAAGACGCTATTAAAAAAAAAAACAGCACAAGTTCTAAATCTTACGCAAATAGATTGAATACACTTTGCATATATCCCTATTTAAAATAGTATATATTTTCGTATCTTGTACTGTTTATGAAGCATTTCTTCGTATTTAAGGTTTATGGAAATTTATTTTGTATCTACGGTTTATGAAGGTAAATGTACCGATGGCTGGTTCGGCCCGAAATGTCAGTTCCAATGTCACTGTCTTAACCAAAAGACTTGTAATTTGACCACCGGATCATGCGGACCGTCTTCAAGATGTGCAATGGACTGGTTTGGACTCGCATGTCAATATCGTAAGCGTAAACTTGCTTTTTTGAAATTTGTTTTTTTTTTTTTGTATTCTCCTCAAGAATTAAAAGACCTTTCTTTTGACAAAATATTTGCCAGAAAAAAATAATGATTTTCTTCGAAATAGTAAATAATCAATTTAATCAAAGAGAAAATACGTTTTTTTGAAAAGAATTAAGTCAAAAGATTTTAGAAAAACGATCGTGTAATGATAACTATGTTACTTGTAATTATTGATGTGGTATTATGCAGTAGTATCTAATTATCCAAATGCACAAACGTCCATGATTACTTAAAAGCACGAGGCGAGAACTTCATGAATTTTGCATCACGTATTTATTCACTGAATATATACACACACAGCATGGGATGATATCTCTAGAAAACAGAGGAAACGTAGTTGTCATATAACTTCTTCCAGATAGATCATTTGAGTAGACATTAAGATGTTGTTCGATATACAAGCCAATCATAAATACACATAATCCCAATTCGTAGTCGATCGCTTGCCTCTCTGCGCATGACGTACCATAAATCACTTCCTGTTCCTTCTAACTTATAAAAACAATACATTGTCGGAAACGAAATTATTATCTCCATATTTGAGCTGTGACACGGGAAAAAACAATTTATTTCTCTTAGGTTTTAATCTCTAAAATGTAAATACTTAACATAGAATTTAAAAAGTATGTATCCATACTGTGTTAATTCTTATGGTTAGACATTATATTTTAACCATTACAATATAACATATATATATATATATTAAATAAACATAACTAAACTTAGCAGAAGGTTGACTAAGCAACACTTAAAAAATGTTTTTCCCCCAGAGGATTTAGCAACACTTCATGGAACTTCTATTAGGTCCACCCCCCACCAAACATCATACGATTGGATCACAGACAGAAATGATACGACCTGTAATGTTGACCATGATCTGGAGGTAATAGTCGTATCGATGAACGCCATGTTTCCTTTCACCTGGATACGACTCGTCTTCAAATACAACGGTGCATGTTAAGCCTGTTAAAGTTTAATATATTGAGCATCATTTTATGATTTATTTGTATTGTTTTATTTTTACATCTTTTGCTCTCGGAAAAATCGCTATCTAACATTTATTAATCAATCAAATTTCCTCATCAACACCAGTAACAGAAACATTGCAAATCCCATCTACTTGCATAGGAGCCAAAATGATCAATAAATTGATCGTGGGCCCTTAAGATATAGAAGAAGAAGAAGAAATTTATGTAGATTACGTATATAGTGAAACATCGAAATAATTAACCTTGAAATAGCACTGTTCTTGTTATTTGAGATGACTCACACCATGAACGAACGATAATTTAACATTCAATGAAACCTGCAAATAGTACCCTTCCTTAAAAAAGCACACATTTTGCTCTCTGTCCCAAGGGTTTGCGTTATTTCAAGGTTTCACTGTATTATCGGTACTTAAAAGTTGTTTATTATCCCGTTGAACGCCATTTTCGTAAAGTTTTGCAATTATCACAAATTAATTTTTTTTTCTCCAATTTTCTAGTGACCCAAAGCGATGTAACAGTCTTCCTCCTGCCGATCACAAGTGCACTGACCGAGTCTGGGTGCAACAACCAGAAGCTCTATTCCATTACCAAAAACTCGGTCGACATTCGTTGCGTGACGACCGTGCAAATAAATCAGTTGATCATCGGAGGGCGATGGATCAAGTATCTTTGTTCGTTGTATGTCAGTGGAGGTGAGTATTTTTCAGCATAACATGTCCACATATGTCAGGATAAAAAAATATCTAAAAGAAACAGACAAACGCTACTTTTAAGTCCTAAATATTATTTAAAGAATGGGAAAATTAAAAAGTAAATGAGCAAAACAAAGTATGGGAAAACCTACAATGAGGACGCCACAAAGCACTGAACGTGTCGGCGAGAAGACTTCTTCAGAGAAAAATCCCCATTCAAAACAATATGAAATAAAAACAAACACTTAGCTACAATGTTCGATCCAACAAGCCACCAAAAGGAAAGTTAACACCTATATCAAACATAAAACCTATTGAAAATCATTTATTTTTATCATCCTTACTTATATCATTTTCACTTGATATATACCTTTTTAAAGATATATAATATTTTATTTTTATATTTCCTGACTTAAAGCAAACGAGAGTTATTTTTCAAAGAAACTTACTCAATACTGTGGATTGTAATGTTTAATTAAAATAACGTTTGTCTAATGATACCAATTTTTTTTTTTTTTTTTTTTTTTTTTTAATTTTTGGTGGTATTTTTTATTTAAAANCCACGGTAGCTGCACTCACACAGCGCCAGGGGACTCGTCTCCCAGCTGGACGGTCACATTCGACCCCCCCCAATGGGTTCATTGCATTGTTTTATACAACAGAAAAGATGCTAGTTGGTGGATTTATTCACTTTATCACATTCTTAATTACCTATTAATTATATCTTTTAAAGGCAATTTAAAAAAAAAAAAAAACATCTAATCGGTGATGAAGGCTTTCTGTCGAAACGTCCGTAATATCGTTTTTTTTCCCCCTGTATTTCAAACGTTGGCGTTTCCTCGCTGTTTTATTCTCACACAGTCTTCTCAAACTTTTAAACTAATTTTATTAATAGGTTAAAAAAATAATATAAAAATTGTCAAAAAGTAGTACATTCGAAATATGAATTTTTAGTTTAAAAATAAACTATCGAACCTAAATATTTTTTCGTTCTGCTTCTCTAAAGCGTATGTGGTATTTTCCTCATCCTCCCTCATCAACAGATTCATCGTGCTGCCCTGATCGGTTGAAATATTTCACGCTGCAAACGTTTGATGCCGCAAATACAGCCCTGTTTTCCTACAAGAGCACCGGGAATACGTCAGTCGTGGTTTACACGGTAACTTCGCCAGCCAATGAGAGCCAGGCAACTATAAGCAGAGTTAAAATAAATGCTACCTTCTTAGATGCATCGATTCATACAACCGTTCTCACACTGTGTGAAGTGGAAGCTTATGGAGGTAGGTATCACACTCACACTGTTTGGAGTGGAAGCTTATGGAAGCAGTTATCTCAATGTGTGAAGCGGACGCTTATGGAGGTAGGTATCATGCTGTGCTCACATCTGATCTTAGTGATTTTATTTGTTGCCATATACCCTTCATTCAGCTTAGAAATCACAGGTCAATATCTAACCTTCTGATCCCACCGCTTGCCAATTCTTAAATCTTGTTCAATTATACAAAGAATATGTCTTATCAGACCAGTTTATAAACGATAGTAGCTCATTATTCTATTGGCGGAGGACCCACTTTAATTATTCGATTGGTGCTGGGCTGATACACTTAAAATTCTATATTAAATGACTTATGTTATATGTATTTTATCTAGGTTTTCTGGTTTAAGTTATCAAGGAATGGCGAAGTCTGTGACCGACGATCGCTTGATTAACTCTAACTACGTCAACGGCTCGATAGTTTTGCTTTGGCTTTTGTCGTGTTACTCATCTCAGATCGTGTTCTCTTTTGAAGCAATACTCACACACGAGACACCATTTCTGTAGATCTCATTTTTGTATACTTATTGCGTTTTTTTTCTTTTCATTTGGACGTTACAACGATAAAGATATTTCAATTTATATTAAATATCAAACCGATTATTTTAAAGTATTAACTTGTCTCTTAAAACATCCGATGAATATGCTTTTCAAAAAATATAAATGAGTGAAACATACTACTCACAATTTTATTTGATGCCAAATTGAGTAGTAAATTCCTAATAATACTAATACCGAATATTGTTGGATTCCGACAGAATGTCCACCAGGAACATGGGGTCTCGAATGTCGCAAGTGTATTTCCTTGTGTGACAGCTGTGATCTTGACACGGGCAGATGCTTGGCTTGTAAAGGCGCCATAAACCCTCCAGGCTGTACCTACTGTGAGTTGATATCTTAAGCTAGAACTTAACTGTGATATGTTGTTTGTCAAGAAAAGACCGAATCGAATCGCTTGATATAAGGATCCCATCACTTAAATGCCTTAGAGATCGCTCTATCTTGATTCGAAACACCATCCATCATTTCTTGAATGCAGTCTTGTAGCAATTTTTATTATCAAACATACTTTCTCTTAAAGAATTATTTTAAGAACAAGATATGTTGTAGCATTAAACAAACAAAATGAGGATACCACCCACCCTCTACATCTTAGATAACTAAAATCATCTTGTTCAGGGCTAAGTCTTTTTCTTAATTAAAGTTAGGAAGGAAAGATAAAGTACAAATAACTCGTTCCGATGTTTGGAAAATTTTCCGACGTGCCCACGCCCTACAACGCAGAGGTTTCAAATCTAAATAGTCACTCTAAAAGTCAATGTAAAGTCCCGTCATTTATAACATTTTTAAAGATTAGAGATAGAGTATAGTTAAAGATTTTAGCGCGAGAAGAAAAAAAAAAGAGGATATGATGAGGCACGACAAAAAAAAAACAACGGATCAACCATGTGAGGCAGAGAAAGAAAGGGACTGATGTAATTGATGGCTAATGTAGGAGGTTGCCCTTATCACAAATAATATTATAATTAGAGCAACATAATTGTGTTTTCTGATAATTTAACAATTAGCTATAATGAAGGAGCTAATATTTAACATTCCAGTATTTTATGTGATTCCGTAATTACTTTAAATGAAAGTGAACAGTCCGAAACAGGACTCCGTATGTCATTTCAGAGAGCTGTGAAAGTCCCGATCATGATTTATGCAATACTTGACTTAATACAATAGTATAAAACATAGGGAACAGTCATACTGTCATACATACAATTATAAACGATGTTACAGTTAATATTGTCCTTAAGTGAAGGAAGTTTTACAGTATAGGACGGTTGGTCTGTGCGATTGTGAAATACTTTAGTGTTATTTTCTCTAGCTTTTATGTATTGACTTGGTAAGAATACTTGTTTGTGCTGAAAATGAACATGAACGACGTAATAAAAAACATGTGTTGTTGTTTTTTGTTTAGGTTATCAATAAAAGAATGTTATCTTCTCTTATATGTTTAGATGATACATATGTATTATCCCTGCCCATGCAGACTGTAATCAAGGGTTCTATGGAGTCAACTGCTCAGTTCCATGTTCCCAGAATTGTAAGGACAAAACATGTTGCCGTACTAATGGAAGTTGTGATTGTATTCCCGGTTACACAGGCATGACTTGCAATGAAGGTATACATTGTATATTCCGAGAAACATTTTTTTTTTTTTTTTTTAATTCTTTTTTTTTTGTTTAAACAGTGTTTACTAGTAATTTATTTCAAATTTAAACATTGTAGAAATAATTTGCTTTAAAAGGTTTAGTAATTATTTATTATTTATATATAAGTCTATTATAAATATCTAATGCATTAATTGTTTGTTTTTTTTCAAGCTCTATGAAGTTAACATTTTGTAGTCCATTAAGTTCTGTTTTTTTCATCACCATTCGTAATATAGAGAAACTATGAAATTTGGTAAATTTATCATGACGGGCAGGTAATCGAGAATATGTATGTTTTGAAAATGTGTCGCTGCTAACTCAATGTGGCAAATCTTTCCGGGCTCTATATTAAGGTACACAATTTAGCGGTGTACAAAATACAGACCCATTAAAAAATTTAAGTACAAAAAAAAGTTTGAGTGCAATAATGTGAAGCTAAACAACCGTAAACAAAAATATTAACTTGTAAAATTTTACAGAATACCTTCATTTCTGAAAAAAAAATATTATTAGGTACGTATACCTCTAAATTTTATTTTAATTGATTAACACTTTAGGACAGTGGTTCTTAACCTTTGTTTGAGGTACTGAACACCACCAGTTTCATATGCGCATTCACCGAACCATTCTTAATAGGGAACAATAAAATATGATTTTTTTTCTTTTTTTTTCGGACCTCAGCCGAACCCCTGAGACTGAATGACCGAACCCTTGGGGTTCGATCGAACGCAGGTTAAGAACCATTGTTTTAGGAGAAAAACGGTTGAGGCCCCAAAACAAAAATAAAACAATTACAACATTATTTCTTCGTCCCATTCTAGTAATTTCACTACATTGCTGCTTCACAGTATTGTTATTTCACTACTTTGCTGCTTAACATTGGGGTCGAAATTTTGTTCACTCCATTGGCGCATCACAACACTTGTCCTATGTCTTTAAGGGAAGTTTACAAATTGGCTCACGCATAGTTTAAACACATTAAGTTTGCACGTATTTTTCATTCAAGAAAGGACGAAATTTATGATGTTTCCTGCTAATTACTAGAAGGTATATGAACTTCTGGGTCCGATTCATTAGTGGTGGTCAAAATCAATGATTTGATTTAACTAAACCGACCCCATTCCCAACTATTTGAGATCAAGTTTGCTGAAATAAGAAAAAGCACACAAATGAAAACGGTGCGATAATGAGTCAAGGCCTTTTTATTTCGTGGCTCCCTTCCCAAATGTCAACAGCCCTGAACAACTTAAAAGTTAAGACTTGCTAGGCATTGCCAAACCCACTTCCCAGATAAATGAATGTATGGTTTTACTAGTCTATTTCTGATAAGTAAATCAAATTGAGACATTATGATAATGGTGTGTTAACAATTACGCCTTCTATACAGCGTGTAACCACAAAACGTGGGGTGAAGACTGTGGCCTAACGTGTAGCCAGTTTTGCAATGTCGACGAAAGCCTATTTCCGGAAGTTTGTCATCACGTCACAGGGACCTGTCTTCTGGGCTGTGTGTCCGGCCACTCTGGAGCCACCTGTGAAACGGGTTTGTCAAAATGGGTTCTTGTTTTTTTGTTTTTTTTTGTTAAACATTCAAGTCCCAAAAAATTTTAACAAAAACATAACCTGATTTGTATTGACAGAAACGGGTGTTATGGTAGTTGTGGATCAACATATCCGATCTCCCAGGGGGCAAATGAAACCAAAATTATTTGTTATAGACAGGGGATGGAATATTTTCGGGTCGTTAAAAATGCTTCATCAGAATGTGAGAATTTTTGATAGTCTATGTCTATTGTACGTCCTTAAAGCAAAGATCAAAATCAAATCAAGCTCTAAAATTATTTCACTAAATACATTAACATTACAATAATTCGTAGATGCTGGAATATATGATTTTTTTAAAACTAAACTGAACACCTGTTTCACTCTTCCGGTTAATGATACAAAATAATAATATGTAACTAAAATGAAAAATAAAGCCAACAGATACAATAAAGCATTAATAAGAACATAACTGTTATATCTTATATATAAAATGACGTTATTTTTTATCAAATAGAGGTACTAGTCTTCCAATATATTCAGAATAAACGCGAGATCTGTAATTCATTAAAGAATGAACACCTACACTGAAACCTATCATTTTAAGGCCTCAATACATTTCAGATTTTAAAAATCATCGAACTGCTTCTTACTTTGTTTCGTTTATACACCCAACTACATAATATAGTCGAAAACTCGGTAGCTACTTATTTTATTATTGAGTTATTGCTCTGATAAAACTTGCCAAGTCAATATGTTAAACTTTTCAAGATGTTAACAAGCATATGAAGATGTTTAAATGGAAGCGACCCAGTGTTAAAAACCGTGGTGGTATTTTAATCACGAATGTTAACGGCCGGGACTTTTCTTTCCTAGTTTATTTCGTTAAACTAACAGCTTATTTAAGTCTTTTACGTGTGTTTCGTTTGATAATTTAAATATATATGTGGTGAAACTTTCACGTTTACAATTAAATAGTTCTATTGAAGAAAAAAAACTATTTACATCATAATGTTAATTAATAATAACCTAAGGAATAAGAGAAACAGAATAAGAGAAACATAATTGCGGACATAATGAAGTCTTCATTACAAACAATACATTTTGATTATATTACCACTTAATGCGTACGTGAGAATGATTAAACTATATGTTTGTATGTACTTAACTCCAGATAATTCAAAAGTTATCGGTCTGGCATCTGGCTTGGGGACTGCCCTGGCACTGGCAGTTTCTCTTCTGATCCTGATCTATTATTTGAAACGCCAGCAGGCTACAGGTGTCCCCAACACGTCACCAGGACAAATGCGACTTCAAATCGATCTCAATCTGGGCTCAGGGCACACGAGCTGTGGGACGGCGAGTGAGTCAACGTATTTATAGTTCAACATTTACAAAATAAAACACGACGTAGACTTAACAAACATTTGATTTTGACAAAGAGTAGAAAAGTTGATTAAAATCTCCAGTTATCAATCAATATTTTGTGAATTTTTTTAACACCTACATACTTTATGTTAACTGATCGACTTTAAGATATTATGAATGCTCTTCGCTTACGAAACCATCAACTCAATGTTATAGCGGTTTAGATTCTATAGTGTGTTTTTTTTTAAATATGCAGTTTCGGCATGTGTATTTTTTCCATTTGAGCCACTTTCAATATAAAACTATGAGTTGGTGTAATAAACTATGCCAACATAAACAAAATGAATTATTTACACGGGATTTACAAATAAATCGTTTTGTTTTCAAGGGGCTTTGAAAAAGAAATGGTCAATGCTATAAATAGTCAAAATTCAAATGTTTTCGAAAGAAAGAAAAATACTATCATAACATTGCAACATAAATAAATATGAGCAAATATAATTTAATCCACATGTAAAGTCTTCATTTGAATTGAATATTTTCTATTTAGCTCAAAAATTAATAAATACGATTTGTTTGTCAGTTCAAGGTTTGATAAAAATATGTATATTCATTTTAAAGGTAAAGTATATACAAGAATGTTAAAATACTTTATTTCAGGTCCTGTTCAAACGTGCGCACCTTTGCCCACACAACGTACAACACCTGGCAGTGGAACTCAACCTTCAGCAGGCCAGGATGGCACTAACAATGGTCACAGAAACGGCAGCGACAGTCGGCAGGAACCGATCTACGCGATTCCGAACAACCGATCTGTCAGTGTTGAAGGAGTAACACAGACGGTCCATCAAGCTTAAAGTACAACAGCCATGAACACTTTGAAATGGAAAGAAAGTTCGACAGTTATTGTCTATAGCTTACACTGTAAATAATTGTGTACACAATGTTATAATCATATGCATGACAAATGCTCAAAAATATTAATATTAAGAAATAAAGTAAAAACAAATTAACATTATTATATGTAACATACATGATGTGTCTTATATGACAAACGGTTACACAATATGAAATACACATTTTCATTAATTGGACACAATGTGTATTAACATTTTTATTTAAAAAATCTGGAGTGAATAGGTGAAATAATTTAATAACTGTTAAAAGTGTAATAAAGGAAATGGGATAAATAGACTGTTTGGCTTATCAAAAAGGTTAAAAAAATAGTAATAGACCCTTCATTTTAAACCTTTAAAATCCCAGCAAGTATCAGTTACAAAAAGTAAAGGACGGCTTGGTTAAACCCACAGATTTGGACTTTTGATTGCAGTGTTCAAATTTGGTGCCTCAACAATCATTCCCGGGGTCCGAAATCAAACTTGTAAATTTTATCAAATTATATTTGATTTATTATTTTATCATAAGATATAGGTTTTATATTTAACACATCCCAATTGTAATGTTTATATTTTAAGTATATATATATATATATATATTAGAATAAATGAACATATGTTATCGGGATACTAGTGGTATGTCCTTTGCCATAGTTTCTACCTACTATTGTAAAATCTCATGACAATTCCTACCTTTAAAATAAGTATCTACATGATGATATTTACGTTTCTAACATCATTAAGTTTTGAGAAGTATTTATCTGCTATAAATTATAAGCCTACCCTACTCCCTTTCACTCCTCTAAACTACATTTCCCTTCTAAACATGACCTTAAAATACCCAACTAAATTATCATTAATTATACCACTTTTGTCACGAAAGAAGTTGATTGAGTGACGATTTCTACACCAGAGAATTAATTTAAATTTTCCCTTTTCGTGTCCTGGAATTCCAACCTTTTTTTCTCTTAAAATTGTTAAAAACATAATCTTAAATTTACAACAAAAACTCTACGTATAATAAAAAAATATTATATTAAGGAATTTGAGATATTTCTATCTTCATCAAAAATTTAAACACACTTTTGCCTTGCTTTAGTAATTAGGAATGATCAGAAAATCTTGAAACAAAAATTCTCTTATCTAAAGAAGAATCTCGCAACCGTTTTTCACGTCTCTAACAGACTTGAGTGTCTTTTCTTTTTAAATTGTGAAACAAAAATTCGCACCCACTTTACTTTTCACATGGTAAAAACAAAAATATATTTTCATTAAAAAAAACAAAAAAAAATCTCAATTTTAAAAATTACCTTTTAAATTGTATAAAATGATTGGGGTTTGATATTTATGGGTATACTTTAATAACTGTACCAACGTTTTGTTAACGCCATTAATTTTCTTAATTGGTAAAATTATGTTTTTTATTGTAAATAGAGAATGTAACATTTATTTTTTCACAAATGTAAAAACTATAGGATTTAAATATATTTTGATCCATGTAAAAATGTACACATTCTTTTTCCTACCTCCGAGGTGTATGTAGGCCTACCCAAGAAGGTTAATTATTTATAAAATTCATTCTTTTATTTTGAGAAGTATCTTGTGTTTTCCTGGGAAAATTTAACATACACATATTTGTAAAAAGAGAAGTAACATCTCTTTCTTAACAGATGTAATACCATAGGAATTATATATGTTTTCATCCACGAAAAAATGCGCACATTCTATTTCCTACTCCAAAAAAGGTTAATTATTTATCAAATCCATTTCTTATTTTGAGAGGTATCTTGTGCTGCCTTGGGCAAATTGACCAACCCCCATAGATTGAAATAAAATTAATACAATTTTCCACCGTATTGTAGTCCCTTCTATATCCAAACTAACAATTTGCATTTCATATGGTTTTTTCTTATTTGGATGAGTTTAAAACTAATCTTAAATTTACAACAAAACTCTTTTTATGATATAAATATATTTTGTATTACAGGAATCCGATATACATTGATTTCTTCAACAAAAATTTTAACACATATTTGCCTTTTTAAAAATTTTTACATTATCAGAAAATCATAAAACAAAGAATTCCATTATCCAAGAAGAATCTCGCAACTTTTTTCATGTCTTTATTAGATTTGACTTTCTTTAAAAGAAAATTAAATTGTTAATTTCATAAAAATATACACCTCTTTAATTTTTGCAAAATAACAACAAAATATATTTTCATTAAAAAAAAAAGAAAATATTAACCCATCTTCAATTGTCAAAATTTAATTTTCAAGTGTGTAAAATGATTGGGTTTTGATATTAATGAATATACTTACATTAATGTACCCAAGATTTGTTAACGCCATTGATTTTCATAATTGGTAAACATAAGTTTATTTGTAAAAAGAGAATTTAACATATCTTTTTTCACAAATTTAATGCCATAGGATTTAAATATATTGTCATCCATGTAAAAATGTACATATCCTTTTTCTCATCTCCGATATGTATGTACCCAAAAGGTTAATTATTAATCAAATTCATTCCTTTATTTTGAGACTTATCTGGTGCTGCCTTGAGCAAAATGAACATTCAAATATTTGTAAAAAGATATTGCAACATCTCTGTTTTTACAAACGTAATACTATAGGATTTAAATATATTGTCATCCACGTAAAAATGTGCACATCCTATTTCCTACCTCCGATATGAATTTAACCAAGAAAATTAATTATTTATTAAATTCATCCCATTATTTTGGGACGCATTTTGTGCTGCCTGGGGCAAAGTGACCTACCACTCTCTCCCCCCAGATTTAAATAAATTTAGAAAATCTTTCACCGGCATCTAGTCCCTTCCATACCCAAACTAACATATTTTGCACTTAATATGGTTCGTTCTTAATTGCATAAGTTATAAGTGGATTAGTCAATGCTTTTGGTTATGGATTTGCGCTGCACTGATTGACTTAAACCGCATTTTCTTATTATAATTATAATATAACGTTATAAACTTAATAAAAATATATATTTTTGGAATCAAAACATGCACACATTTTTAAATGTAAAAATATACAAAGCAAAAATGTGTGTGTGCTTTATTGACAATTTTAAAAAGCAATCATTTGTATTTATTTACTTTACTTTTAAGAAGGGAAATTACATTATCAGTTTTGTCACGCGCGGTTATCAAATTTAAAGAAACGTAAGAGTTTTGGCGAAATAAGTTATTCGCGCTATGACGTCATTTGCATGATTATTCTTAAAACAACTAAATTTAAAAAATTATTTCGCAATATTAACATCGCACTAAAAGACGCACTAAAAACGACTGATGCTTAGGTTTTCCCGAAAAATGTGATTACGGTGTAATTCTTTGTTCATGATTTTTTATTATTTTTTTTTCATAACTTTTAAACACATTTAAATGCTTAAAATAGTTCCTTAGTTGATACTATAAATGTATTTGTAATTTACAATAATAATACTTAAAGGTTTATTAATATCAAAGTGGATTTAAAATATTTGTTGAGCATTTAAATTTATCCGATTTCCGTAAAATAATAGAAAATAACTTTGATTGTTTTTAGGAATCCGAACGTACTTTAAAAAAAAAATGTCCCTTTTGACGTTATGTGAACCTAGCTCATTCTTATATATATATATATATATATATATATATATCTTCAACATTTTTTATCATAATTTAAAATAATTCAAAGCCCAAATGGTTTTAAGAGATTTTTAAATGTATTTTTAGACCCGTTTTTGGATGTGTTTGACCAATTGATAAACTTCAGGTTAAAACTTTTAGTAATGTCATTTTAAATAAACAGTTAATATTATATTTCCTTTTCCATTACTGTGTATTTTGCGCTATTATATTTACCTCGCTTTATGTTGTGCTAAACAAATAATATGTTATATATTTTACAATTATTTAAATATATTAAAACTCATCTTGGTATGAAATTACGGCTGAAACGCTAAGAGAAATAACCTTTCGAAGAACGTTAGATTTTAAGAATTTGCAGGTGGGTCCCCTTTTAACGGAAAATAAATTATTAACCAAATTTTTGTTATTTAAAAAAAAATATATAAACAAGAGCGACAATCTTTGAAACACCTCAACATTTTCCAAACATGCACATGTAGACTTTTCAATTCTCAAAACACATTTTTGCAATATAACGAAATGACGTTTGTTTGTTTTAATAGATTTAAGAAATAAAAATACGTTTTATGTACATGTAATCTAACATATGTATTTAAATTATGGGAAAAATGGCGTTATTTTTCACAGGCTAATTGACTAGAAATGTACATTTACTTAGATACTTAACAAAAATAAAGTAATTGTTATTTTTAAATTTTCAGATAGACAAAAAAAAAATGATTTCCTAAAGATTCCGTCATTTTTTGACAGGTATTAGCTAGTAATATAAATATTTTTTTTTTTAAAATGTAACAACTACTCTCATTTGTTTCGTACAAGGAGCGGCAAAGTAAACTTCTACCTGCTCATAATGTTCTATTAATTACATTCAAATAATTTGTATAAATGAAACAATATAAGTTGAGCTTTAATAAGGATCAATCACAATACAATGTTGAAGCTTCGGAAATAAATAAAATTTACATAGTATATATATACTTACATAATATATATATATATACATATATATATATATATATATGCATACAAATGTATCGTACTTAACAGTGAGAGAAAAAAATTAGTGGATGCAAGTCCATTTCCAAAAAAAAATTATCGAAGTACGGAATGAAAGTTGCTGGTAGTAAATTTAAAAGTCAAAGAGGAAAACACATTGCAGCTATGTAAATTTTTGAATTTAATTTATACTGTATGGAGTCAAAATTCCAAATCTTGTTATTAATTTTTTTATTCCCATATAGATGCTATCCTGAGCATTATTTGCATACAATCTATCAGTAACTGCAATGACTAAAATCAAATATGGTTAATTTATTGAATTATTTGCTTTTCTGTTTCAACCACAATTTTGATTGTTATGAAAAGCTTGAATCCAGCACAATAAAAATCAATTGAGTATAACTATAGTGATTTTATGATGTAATCGACATAATACCAAGTGTACAAGTTCTAGATTTATAATTATTTTTAACTTTCTAAAACCATAATATGTATTACTGATCTTTAGAGAATTTATATTATAGCTATTTCAATATCAGATCAATATTATTTTTAAAAAAAAATTTCTATACATGTTTATTAAAAGGAAAATTTTAGCAAGCTACGTCTGTTTCCCTTCGTAATATTCTCCAACTTACGTTTATTTGAACGATATATTACAAATTAAAGTATTTTATCATCGGTATCAATCAGGTAATTAAGTTTTATCAGTTACTGAATGTAGTCATATTAACGTTCCAATGGATGTATCATAGTTTTATGTTATGTTACTGTTAAACATAATGGGATTCTATTTTGAAAACGTTTGAAAAAATATTACAGTGGTATGACCTGATAAGGCCGCCCCCCAGCCCCCCCCCCCCCCCCCCCCAA